TTTCCTCAATGGAGATGTGATTTTAAACAAGCAGATGAATATGGAATAGAATTTAAAGAAACTTATTTTTTTTTCTTACCCAAATTATCAGTCACATATGAGAACAGATCAAATAGACAATGGAAGGTCTCAAATTTACATTTTTATTCTTTCTGAGGAAACTATAGAAGGTGGCTCCATCAAAATAAATGAATAAACTGAAGAGGTAAACATGGGATTCAGAAAACAAGGAACCAAGACAGAACAATGAAGTGTATTGTGTATTGCTAAGTGAAAAAAATTTTCCAGAATAGCAAATGTATAGTAAGCACTCCATTTGAAGGAAACAGTATGCTTCCATGGTTCAAAAAAAAAAAATCCAACTAAGACTATCTGAAAAGTCTAATCATGTGATAAATTGTTTTGAAGTATTAGAAAAATGTGGCCACAAATTAAGACAATAACACAAGTGAAAAATTAACACAATTATTAACTCTAAATAGTGTTAAAGTATACTTTATGGTTCAGCAGTGAACGTATTTACACAATATGGATTTAACTAATAATTGTGGTACAAGTATAGGGAAAGGGAAAGAAGGAACAAAAGGGCTATGAAGAGATTTGAAACTTTTATCTCACAGAATAACAAGTAAATAGATAATATCTAAACCTGAAGCATCAACTGAATATTACATATTATTAGAATTAACAGTACAGGTACATACCAAAAGAATACCTGAAAATATGAAAAGTAACTGCAACAGAGGAGATGGAGATGACTAAATCTTTTAGTATTGTTTAGTTTTTAAATGAGGCTGACTTTAGAAAACAAAACAAACCAACAAAAAACTACCAAGTATGATCTTCATGATGGAGTTCTATAGGGCTACTGAAGATACAGGAAGATAGGCCAACTGAGTCACACATGTGTTTCCTTTACACACCTTGGAAACTGTACCAAATGTTACTACTCAAATAATTCAGAAGCCTTATTGTTCATCAAATGCATGTTTTAAAGCCAATAATTCTAATTTGAAAAGTAGTTGCAAAGTCCTTAAGTGACATGAAAAATGGCTTTATCTCTTCCATTGACATTTATCAAAAGATGCACTGCTTGTCTGCTGCAGTGGTGCACACTTGCAATCCCAGTACTGGGAGGCTGAAGCAGAAAATCACAAGTTTGAGGCCAGCCTTGGCAACCTAGCAAGCTCATCAGCAACTTAGCAATACTCTGTCTCAAAAAATAAAAATGGACAGGGGATGTACTGGTATATATTACTATCTTGCTATGTTTTAATGTTTTTGTCCTCTTCAAAATTCATTGAAATTTAATCCTTAATACAACATTTTATTAAGAGATGTGGCCTCTTAGAGGTGACCAAGTTATGAGAGCTCTCCCTACCCATACACAGGATTCAGTGCCCATGTAAAAAGGCTCAACAGAGGAAAGTTTACTCCTTTTGTGCCCTTATGCCATATGAGTGCATGGCATTTGTTTTTCTGGATGATGCAGCATTCTGGAAGCAGAAAGACCAGGCCTTTACCAGTGCCCTTAACTTGGACTTCCTAGCTTCCAGAACTGTGAGAATAATTTTCTACTGTTTTAAATAGAATATACCAGCCTGTAGTATTTTGGTAGATCAGCACAAACAGACTAAGATGTTTATGAAAACTATATTTGAAAAAAACTTTAGCTAGTTTGACACTCACCCCTAAGGAATTAAAATCAATGACAAATAATTAAGATAGAAAACTTAGGTTGGAAGTTTAAATAGTTTTGAAAAAAGATCTGGAACTTTAATAATGGGAAAAATTTTAAACAGTATCAAACTAAACTTCACCTTGTAAATAAAAAGCTACATGTCTACAAATTAGGAAGCATGTAAAAGGAACAGGACTTAGTCCACTGTCAGTTGCTATGGCAGAATACTTGATGCTGGGTAATTTACAGAGGAAAGTGGTATATTTTGGTTCACAGTTCTAGAGACTTGGAAACCTTAGATTCTGGCACCAGCCTCTTTTCAGTTTCTGGTAAGGACTTTGTGCTACTTCCTTCAACTGATGGTGGAAAGTAGAAAGGCAGGTGGGCAAAGGTGAGAGACAAAACTTGGGGGCAGCCTCACTTCATAACAATCTGCTAAAAATAGTAATCCAGTCCTGACAGCAAGAACTGCTCTATAAGAAAGGCATTTATCTGTTCATGAATGCTCACCCCCATGACCCCATACTTCTCACTAGCCCCACTTCTCAACACTGCTGAATTTTGTTGCAGATGAATGCCTTTCCTGTCAAAGTGAGTTCTTGGATTATTTAATAGATAGAAGAGTAAATGGTCAAATCAAATAATACTATCTCCAAGATTTAATTTGTATCAACTCAAAACAATACTAGTCTTAATGTGTAACCTTCCTTTGTGGAAACAGTATATACTTTCCTACCAGTGACTTTAGCTCGGTACCAAACTCCATCTTCAAATTTAGCTACACATGCTTGATCTTGAACTGGACAGACAATTTCCAGATTTTCTCCATCGTCACTTTTGTAGAATTCCTCAATAGTTTTTAAAAGAAATAAAAAATCCAGGTTTTCTATCTAAGAAATAAAGGGATAAAGCACTGTAGTTGGCTAGAAACTTAAAATTTTAAGTATGTTTTAGGTATTGTTTATAAAATTATAAAACATTAAAACTGGCTTTAGTTATAAATCAATTATGTGTTATATAATTTACTTTAGGAACTGTTTTTTGTAGATACACCATGAAATTCTCCAAAGTAAACATAACAAAAAATAAAATCACATTCTGCTCGATAACTTAATGTATATTCTAGGTTTTTTGGACACTTACACTCTCTCCAAACTTTTGTTTCTACCAAAACTAGACCATACAATACATACAATTCAGTAACCTACACTTTTCTATCAATTCTGTTTCACTAAGTGTGCCTATTAGTACTTCTAGACCATATTCAGTATTTTGTAACTGATCAAATCAGTATCCAATCTCAAGATTACACATTGCTTTTATTTATCTCTGTAACTCCTTTGTTTTTGTGGTACTGGGGATTGAAACCAGGGCTTCATGCATACCAAATGAGTGCTCTACAAAGGAGCTATATCCCTAGCCCTCCATGACTCTTATAATCTAGCACAGTCAGTCCTCTTTTAAAAAAGACCTCGAGGGCTGGGATTGTGGCTCAGTGGTAGAGCATGCATGATGCACTGGGTTTGATCCTCAGCACCACATAAAAATAAATACATAAAATAAAGATATTGTGTCCATCTACAACTAAAAAAATACTAAAAAAATACCTTGAGATATTGAAAGTCAGATGAGGAATAGGTGAGCCATACTGGAAACAATTACATGTGGACAGAAACTTTTAAATAGGCCAAAGGTGATAATGGAACAAGCAGGTTTGAAATAATTTGTGTCAGGCCTAAATATGAATGCCAAGGCATAAATTTATGACAAAAGGATTATACATAAAAATCTAGTGGGATTTATTCTTGGAACACAAAGATGACCCAACATATGAAAAGCAATGAAATAAACCACATTGACAGAATGAAGGGAAAAAAGAACAAAATATGACAATCTCAAATACTGCAAAAGAGCATTTAAAAAGCTGAACACTCTTATGAAAAAGATTTTCAGAATAAACTAAGAAAGAAATTTAATGTACGTCACAAAGGTCATATAAGAAAAACTCAGAGCATATCATATGCTTGGTGAAAGACAAAAGCTTCTTTCCCAAGACAGAAATAAGATAAGGATGACAGCTTTGCATCTTGTATTCAACATGGTATCGGAAGTTCTAGCCAGAGATATTAGGCAAGAAAATGACAGAAGTCATTCAAATTGGAGAAGTAGTAGTAAAATTATCTCTATTCACAGATAATGTGATCTTATAAGAAAACCCCATACACTCCACAAAAACAAAACAAAAAAACACCAAACCCGTTAGAACAAATTTAACAAAGTTGATGGGCACAAAATCCACATACAAAAACAAAGACAAAAATCAGGGGGCTGAACTTGTGGCTCAGGGGTAGAGCACTCCTGGCATGTGTGAGGCCCTGAGTTCAATCCTCAGCATTGCATATAAATAAATAAAATAAGAGATCAATTGACAACTAAAAAATATTTTTAAAAAAATCACCCATATTTCAAAATGTCAGCAAAGAGTATTCCGAAGAGAAAATTAAGAAAGTGCTTCCATTCACAATAGCATCTAAAAGATAAAATTAAGAGTAGATCTAACCAAGGAAATGAAAGACTTTTGCACTGAAAACAAAATCACTAAAGTATATTAAGTAAGATCTAAATAAATGGGAACAAAGACACAACCTGTGTTCATGGATAAGAAGATTTAAAAATGTTAAGATGTTAATTCTATCCAAAGTGATCTACAATGTAATGTAATCCCTATCAAAATACCAATGACATTTCTTGCACAAATAGAAAAATTTATCCTAAAATTCATAGAGAATCTAAGAGTAATTGAATAGCAAAATCATTTTGAAAAAGAACAAATCCAGGGCCAGAGTTATAGCTCAGTGATAAAGTACTTTCATAGAATGTATGAGGCCCTTGGTTTTACCCCTAGCACCACATGCACATATAAAAGAACAAAGCTGGAAGATCCACACATTCTGATTTCAAAACTTAGTACAAAGATGCACTAATCAAAGACAGACACACAGATCAATGGAATATCCCAGAAATAAACGTTTTATTTTGGATGAGGGTAAGAACTACAACTATAGGCAACTATGGTTCAGTGGTACAGTGCTTGCCTAGAGTGCCTGATGAGGGCCTAGGTTCAACCCCCAGGAATGCTAACAAAAACCCAAAACTGTGACTACAAAACCTTCACAAGAAACCAGGGAAAAGGCATGATAATTAGATTTGGCAATGACTTCTTGGATATGACACCAAAAGCACAAGCAATGAAAGAAATAATAAACTGAACTTTATAAAATTAAAACCTTTTTGTGGAGTTCGATCGGTACGGGGAGCAGGGAGTGGACCCCAGAGAGCCCTGAGCAGCCCCACCGCCGCTGCCGGCCTAGTTACCATCACACACCAGGAGGAGCCGCAGCTGCCGCAGCCAGCCCCAGTCACCATCACAGCAACCATGAGCAGCGAGGCCGAGACCCAGCAGCGGCCCCCCCCTTCCCCTCAGCGCTGCCGACATCCAGCCCAGCCCGGCACCACGCAGCGGCACAGGGAGCGGCGGCCCAGGCGGCCTTACATCAGCGGCGTCGGCCTGCGGGGACAAGAAGGTCATCCGCAACGAAGGTTTTGGGAACAGTAAAATGGTTCAATATAAGAAACGGATATGGTTTCATCAACAGGAATGACACCAAGGAAGATGTATTTGTACACCAGACTGCCATAAAGAAGAATAACCCCAGGAAGTACCTTCGCAGTGTAGGAGATGGAGAGACTGTGGAGTTTGATGTTGTTGAAGGAGAAAAGGGTGCGGAGGCAGCAAATGTTACAGGCCCTGGTGGAGTTCCAGTTCAAGGCAGTAAATATGCAGCAGACCATAACCATTATAGACACTATCCACGTCGAAGGGGTCCTCCACGCAATTACCAGCAGAATTATCAGAACAGTGAGAGGGGGGAAAAGAATGAGGGATCGGAGAGTGCTCCCGAAGGCCAGGCCCAACAACGCCGGCCCTACCGCAGGCAAACGTTCCCACCTTACTACATGCAGAGATCCTATGGGCATCGACCACAGTATTCCAACCCTCCTGTGCAGGGAGAAGTGATGGAGGGTGCTGACAACCAGGGTGCAGGAGAACAAGGTAGACCAGTGAGACAGAATATGTATCAGGGTTATAGACCACGATTCCGCAGGGGCCCTCCTCGCCAAAGACAGCCTAGAGAGGACGGCAATAAAGAGGATAAGGAAAATCAAGGTGATGAGACCCAAGATCAGCAGCCATCTCAACGTCGGTACCTCCGCAACGTCAATCACAGACGCAGACGCCCAGAAAACCCTAAACCACAAGATGGTAAAGAGACAAATGCAGCCAATCCACCAGCTGAGAATTCATCCACTCCTGAGGCCTGCAGGGCGGGGCTGAGTAAATGCCGGCTTACCATCTCTACCATCATCCGGTTTAGACATCCAACAAGAAGAAATGAATATGAAATTCCAGCAATAAGAAATGAACAAAAGATTGGAGCTGAAGACCTTAAGTGCTTACTTTTTGCCCGTTGACCAGATAGCTAGAACTAGCTGCATTATCTATGCAGCATGGGGTTTTTATTATTTTTACCTAAAGATGTCTCTTTTTGGTAATGACAAATGTGTTTTTTAAAAAAGCCTGGTTTTTCTCAATACACCGTTAAAGTTTTTTAAATTGTTTCATATCTGGTCAAGTTGAGATTTTTTTTTTAATTGTTGGTTGTTCAAAACATTACATAGTTCTTGATATATCATATTACACATTTTGATTCAAGTGGGTTATGAACTCCCATTTTACCCCGTATACAGCTTGCAGAATCACATCAGTTACACTTCCATT